AAGATATCCAAAAATCGCAAATTGTCATTTTGACACTTCCGGCAATTTTCCATCCAAGCGACGATATTTGAATAGGTTTGTATAGTTACCAATAGTCAGTACTAATTTGTACTGGAACCTGCAAATTTTTACTAGAAAAGTGTATGATAACCCAAAATATTTGCAAGAGAGCACTGAATCGAGAGCGTAACAACACGAGAGCTGCAAATTCTTGCTAGTGAAATTTTTACTAGCAGAAATTAGCTAGCAGAAGAAGAAGAAGAATAAATGTCAAAAGAATATATAAAAAGTGGTGTTACTAGCTCAGTTGATTTTGTGTATGTGTTTCGCCGCACGGCTTCTGATATCAAATTGAAAAATTTTGTTTGAATTTCTACTCACACTTACAGGTTTTGACAGTTTATGCCGCCAAAGCAAAAACAAAATACATGTAAATTTTTGTTTTTGTACTCCTGCAATCACCTTATATTGATTCGCCTTGGCACAAACAAAAGTAAAATGAGTGGAAATAAAAATATTAATGATGTACTGGACAGTGTAAGTGCTTGTGTGTAAAGCAAAGAGTTTAAAACTGATTTATAAATAGTAAAATGTTTACAGCAGATTGTCAAAGCAGTGCAACAACTGTTCACTTGCAAGTTTTTGCCAGTTTTGTGTTCAATAAGTTCTTCTGCTAGTTTTCTCTTCTTCTCAATTTAACGCTCTATTTTGCTTTTACGCTCTCGCTGCAATTTTACTGTTTGTATTAATGTTACTCGCATATTTTCGAGCCTGTATGTAAATTTTCGGAAAAAAGGTTAAAAAGTATATTCATCTGCTGAAAAGATATTTTCGCAGATTCACAATTTATTTGAAATAAATCTATTAGCCTAATCTCCAATTCCATGTGAATAAATCTCCCCAGTGCTTAAATAATTTTCACCACATTAAATAGCTGCACAACACCCTAATTGCCGAAAAAACGTTGCTTGCAACACTAGTCCTTTATGGGGACCAAACTTGGCGAGAAAAAAATAGCTAAGTTTGTTTACTGGATATACTGAG